CCGCCGCGCTCCCGCTCTCTACGGCAACACACCCCCGCTGGCCACGTCTTAGCCGCTTTGAAGAACTAATGCTAGCACCGACTGGGAACATTCAGGAATATTTAAGCCAGCAGCATGATGGACTCTTTAAACTTTAAAATATTTGCTAAAAAGTATTAATCCTGTGCTAAAAAATCTGTACTGGCTTTGCTGTTACTGCTGGGTGCTTTTAAGAACGCTGCCCTACCATGCCTTCTCACGGCACTGAAACACAGTATTTTGCTTTCACAGCAAAGCAGCCGCAGGCAAACCCGGCAGGCAGGGCCGAGCCGAGCCGGGCGCCGCCGGCCCCAGGCAGTGGCGGGTTCAGCACCGCACGGGCACCCGCGGGCACACGGGGTGCGCAGGGCCCAGCACGGGGACAGGGCAGCGCAGGGCAGCGCAGGCCTCCCTGCGGCTCCAAGCCAGTCCCTGGTTGTGACGGGGTTACAACCGAGGGCAGTCACCACTGCCCAGCCCATAAAGAAAAATCACCAGGCACAAGTGAACATAAATTCTGAATAAAATAAAAGTAACGTTATGAAAATCAGCTGCATACTGTTTCATATTTCTATATATTATATTTCTATATATTATAAATAAGGATTATTTTAACACAGTACTTTTTATGCAACAGAGACCCATAGAGTTTTAAGTAAATCATGACTCTTTTTTTAAATGCAGTATATTTCATTGAAAAACATGTAAGAACTATTACATGTTGTATTACATAAATACATCTTATGGTATGTATGATAAATCCACCACATACTTTTTAGTTACAAACACAAAAAGCTGTAGTTGGACTTAAGTAGTTTTTAAGTAACTTCAGGTAGAGTTAAATAACTTTTTGGAGGGTGGGAAGAGCAGCTTTACTGGAGCAGAACATGCTCAGTCTTTTTTTCATTTTTCTAATAGATTTTGTGAGCATAAAGTCATGGATTTGCCCATTTCTTGACATTTTGAGCCATTCACCCACTTTATACTTAAGAATCTACAATTTTTAAAAAGATTTTTAATTGCAGCCTTAGTGAAGCCTCCCTGTTGTGGCTGTGGTGTTCTGAATACCATCCTTAACACCTCAGCCTGAAGAAGACTCAGTAAAAGTCTCGCTGTATCGGCTAAAAGCAGAGCTTCCCTCAGCAGCCCTATATGGTCACATTCCAATTGGAACATTTTGACTTTTATTTGCTGTCAGAGACCTAACACAACATTAAACTACAGATCTCACAAAATTGGTGAGTTAAACCGACATTGTTTGCATACATATTTAACCATTCACCTACTTGTAGAGAGGAGAAGCAATGTTTTCATGCAAAGATACTCTTCATAGGAAACTTGAAGGCGGGAGAGCTCCCGGGCAACCATGAGCATATGTTTGCATTGTTCATACATACAGGGTAGGTTCATTCTCTGCCTGAGAAACAAGAGCATAAAATCAGTCAGATGTCTACATCTCTACAAAGCCTCCATCTGAATTTCTGTGTGGCACGGGTTGAGTGCTGCAGACAGGCTTGTATTTCATCTGTCTTACAGAGAGAGATCTCCTGTTTTCTCCAGCGAACTCATTTCGGTGAGTGTCTGGGTCCTCCACACACGCAGCAACCAGAACAGGAGGCGATAATGACGGCCTGTCCTCAGCGAGGCAGGCAGTGAGCGTGGCCTTTCATCAACGCACGGCTTGGAACAGCCCATCACAAACCCCCAGGGGAATCACTGTTCGACAAGATTCCCCAAGCCTGGCAGCCCGAAAGCCTTTCCTGGTTTAAAGAGCCACGAAGAAATGATTTACCACACGGGAGGTTTCTAGCTTGCTAGTTTTCCTCAAGACCCTTGAGAATTCCACATAATCTCAACACACACCAGCTTGCTGCTGGCAGCAACAGCTTTCCGTAACTTCCCTGTGTTCAAACTGACTATATTCTCTTGGACACGTAGACCTTTTTATGTTGTTAAAGAGATGCTGTGTATTGCAGTTAAATTTTATTATCTGTAACGCTACATTATAATGTAGAAAAAAAGTTTCTAACCACAGCTAGAAAGAAATAACAACAACCAGAGGGAAATCATGGAAAGCTGTTACTTGGAATCAAGGTGACAAGCACTGTGTATTTATAGATTTCCTTTCCTGTCATTCTCTTCCCATTTTAATGAGGCCCCGCATCAGTTCTTCCTCTCAGAGCCCACAGGAGGATGATGCAGTGTGACCCGAGAAGCGTGCTGGAAAGCACCCGAACCCTGCTGACACCGGTTCTGCACCAGCTAGGAGAGCCGCCGTCCCCTCCGTGTGCCATGGGAGCAATGTCCCACGTCCTGCCCGTGCACACATGCAATGTGCAGCTACACACGCACAGACACGGGCAGGGGCAGGCAGGGCAGCTCAGCAGGCGGGCAGCAGCGGAGGGCAG